CCGTTCTTGACGATGCTAATTTAGATTTGTTTTTGGAAGGAGGTCTTCCGCGACTTGCTCGTTCGCTATCGGGGCAGAGAGACTTCGCCACTGATATCATATAATTCAAGTATGTTAACTTATCTTGAGCTAACTAATTATAACAAATGAATGAGTTGCAAATAGATGCATTCAGAAAATAAATAAACATTCGCAGCCAGTTCCTTTTAGACTTACGGTCGAGATTGTAGCATGATATTCTTTGATTGAGCCGATCAACTCCATGTGAAAACTGATTGTAATCTTTTATTGCTTTTGGACAGTTGATTGTAATATGTTGACCATTTTTCAAACGACGGGAAATCGAAACAACTTCGTTCTCTTTATGATAATTTGAAGCCAATAAAACCTGTTTCGTGTCCATCCATACGAAGACAATGCTGTTCAATATAATCATTGATTCGCAGTCTCCTCGTTGCATTTTATTTTTCTTGGCAAAATCTGATGGAATACTTGCTCGATCTGGTCTGATAGTTCCACAGGCTTTGATTTTCTGTAGCTTTAGCTTCTCTAATAGTCTGAGAGAAGTGAAAAAGTTATCGAAATATAGATATTTCCCTTGGAAATTATCACTAGAGATAAGATCGAAAACAACGCGTTCGCTCAAAGACGCTTCTTTTCCACTAATTTCATCTTTTCCTAAATAGATTTGAAAGTTGAATAAATAGCCAGTGATTGGATCACATAAACACCAAACTTTATAACCTCGTTTTATGGGTTTTAGAGGCAAATATTGCTTAAGGCTTGACCTTCCTTTGAATTTTATCATACTTTCGTCTATTGTCCCATATCGTCCAAAGCTATAGTTTTTTTTAAAATTTTCCCGTAAAATGTCAGTAAAATTCTTAATTTTGTAAATTTTACTGTACTCTTTGGATCCTCTTTCTGGTTCCAATGAGTTATTAGCCAAATGTAAATTATAAAAAATTTGAAGAAAACGATTTCTTGACATGATCGAAGAAATAAATGTATTTTGGAATACCATATCATTACTCCAATAAAGTTTCATATTTGGCAAGTTATTGATACCCATTAGAATAATCAATCCCAGAAACGATTCGATTTCTTTTTTGCTCACATCCTTCCAGTTACTGTTTTTTTCTGATTTTTACTTTGTTTCTTTCCTTTACCATAAATATTTGTTTGATCAGTAATTAGCTTTAAAATTTCTTCATCAAAAAACTTTCTAAAGACTGAAACTGGAGTTAGCTGTTTGAGAGAGATTGAAGTAAAACCACAGTGTGTAATATAACTTTCATTCATTGAATTCGGATCCTCCGCATTTACATCCAAATCTTCATCAGAAAGTTCGACCTCATCTAAGTTATCGACGAGTTCATCATAATCGAAATCGAGATCACTCTCGCTCGTATCATCACTGGCATATGAATCATGAGACTCGTCATCGAGTTCGTTATTCCCATCGAATTCCATTTGACTAGTTTTTATTGTAAAAAACGATATACAGAAATACAGAGTGCAGGTTCGATAGACAAATGATATCCTTTGCAAGTTTAAGAACAATGTGAATTCATCAAGGAAAACGAGAGTATATATACACTTAACAGAGAAGAAGAACATTCTCGAAAAACAAATGACCAGAGGAGAAGAGAAAAAATATGACGTCATGGTAGCTTAACAGCAAGAACAAAGGATATCCGAGAAATATCTATGCAAGCGAAGGAAAGAAAGAAAAGAAAAGTATGAGATGACGCACGCACTTGCTTTTGACCTTAATAACCTTCATAATTAATAGTTTAATGTGAACTAAACACTTCTTCCTTTATTAAAAAATAGGTGGTCCAAAAATGGACCACCGGTCCTCAAAGGGTTAATTATGAGTCTCTCTTTGTGTTTTTGTTAGAATTGTTCGGCGAGCATTATTTGTTCGAACAGCTGCTGGTTGTCTTGTCGGTTTTCGATAAATATCAACAAATAATTGTTTTACATCTTGACGAAACGTTCCCGATGTAATCAAATAAATATAAAATGGAATGGCATTATTTATATAGAGTATTAAAAATGCTACTGCATTAATAAAAGTTTCAATTTGAGAATATTGAGCACTTTTATTTGTTAATACAGATTTAGAAACTAATATTTCCAAATTAATAAATGAGTATGGAATTGTCGTTATAAAATAGACTGTCGATTCAGACATGACTAAAATTAATAAGGTTCGATCTCGTCGTCGAATATTTGTATTCGCTTGATTTATAGTAGAAGAAATTATCGGTTGAACACGGTTTCTTAATTGTGTTATATGACGATAAGTTAAATAGCCAAGTACAGCTACCATTATCGATGGAACTAACCCGACAAATAAAATAAGATAAATGGTATAAATTATGGAATAAGTGCCAAAGGTGCCACATTGTCCGTTAACAATCGTAACCATGATTGGAATATGACAAGCAAATATTGGCCAAAATATAACAATACCAAAGACCCACCATTTTGCTTGTTTCGGTGTGCTCAATGCTCGAAAATTAGCACGATTACTTGTGTACATAAAACGATCCAAAGCTGCTGCAACCACTAGTATTCTTGCCGATTGTCCAAAGACATTTCCAAAGTAAAAGCGAATTTTACATAAAATGAATGCTCGAACTGTTTCATCTCGATAATAAAATGGAAATAATTGTGTGAAACAGTTAAATGATAAATAAGTAAGATTTGCAATTGCTGAACTGATCAAAAAAATTGAGCATGCATTTTGATGTTGTCGAGCGAAGATGATAATAATTAAAATATTACCAATGTATCCTAAACTCATAAAAGTTGGATATCCATTGAAAACAATTGAATTCTGAATAGCTGTTAGAGTTGCAGATGACATGATTTCTGATAATAATTGACTGAATAAGACTATTTGTTGAATATGTCAATATACTGGAGTGAGTATTTATTAGAGTTAAGTGCAAATACGAAAATACAGAGTTTTTATACGATTGTGATGGCTCTTTCTTCTACAATCTTCTTTCTCATTAATAATCTTGCGGTGACTATTTTATTGACTTTAAAACGTCAGAGGAGAGGGGCAGTTTTCTCCAACTTAATTAAATTTCTGAAGTCAATTTCTGACATCAAAGACGTCATTCACTAGCTTATCCTTTTCTTTCTGCGTATTTAATTTTATTAGTGGCATGGTTATTTTTCAAACATAATATAAATCTCCTCTAGAAACGAACTTTTATTAAACATGTGCATCACGAGCACTATTTCAATATTATGAAATGTCGTTTTGGAGGATGTATTTATACCACTTTGTAGGACGTGAAGCTCTCTATTATCCTGTGAGCTTGTTATTCATTTATTAAGAATAGACATTTTTTTGTATATCCGGATTTACTTCGATACATTTCGTATATAAAGAGAAACACGTATGCTTGATTGCTTTGATATTCACCTTTGCGAATAAAACTCGCTTCTATAAAAAAGTAAGGAGAGAGAAAGCAATCAAAAATAGGTTTGTATTTACATTCTTTTTTTATTGAGATATATACTTAGGTGTATCCAAAAGTAATGTCGTCTCTATTTTATTTCTTTATTAAAAGGTTAAATGAAAAATCTTTTTTACAGAAAGATAGAGAAAATGAAGCTCTATTTTTCTATGCTATTTGATTCTCCTTCAGTTAATACCATAGCAACAAGTTTTCGATATGAATTATTTCTGTGTAAAACTTAAGTAACAAAAAGGCCATTATGAGTGTTCGCATTTTTAATGCATTATATTAAAAATCGGTGTATACCAAAAGATGCTGCGTGAGAAATTTTACAATCTACAAAATAAAATTTATTTTAATTGTGCACTTTTTCTTTTTGAACACAAAAAAGCACAGAATCA